CTTCAACTTACTGCTTTTTCTCACTTTGCTGTAGTCCACTCACTCCATGTAACGTGGGCCACTCACAAGTATGGGGATTTTTCTGCTTGATCTTTTCCCAAAAATATGAAATAATTATAAAAATTCTATGCCTGGGATTACCTTTGTGGGAGCCTCATTTTATAATCTAAGCAGTTGCTTATTTAAATTACTCATCCATCTTACTCCAAGATTCTAGTATTTGGAAATGAATATCTTGTCAAGGCAGTGATTTAGAAAAAAAATCTTTTCATGGAGCATGAATACACTAAAAAAAATATTAAAAATAGCTTCATTTTCTTTCCCAAAACACTGTTCTATAAATGCATAGGACTTAGACTTAAAATTTTTTTGAGAATGTATAAGACAAAAAGTTAAACTACATTCCCTTTGAAATGTTTTCATGTTCTTACAACATCTATCAATTCGGTTTTGTGTATCAAAAAAGTGTACTTTGATATTATATCTCAAATGAATAATTAATTTCTCAAGTAATTAGGACAAACTCCATTGTATAACAAAGTAGTACTAATCTTATTATTCATTTGTTTATTTAATAATACTTATTTTATTATTTTTAAGTGTGTGTGTATGTGTGCGCGCGCACGCGCGAGCACGCAGTGTCAGATCTTCCAGAAATGGAATAACAACAGACATTTGTGAGCCACCTGACACTGGAACTGGGAGCCAATCTCAGATCCTCGGCAAGAGTAGTACATGCTCTTAACCAGGCAGACATCTCTTCAGCCCCCGCATTTATTTGCTTGTTCATTCATTCGTTTCTGAGTAAATGTCAGACTGACTCTGAAAATACCTTGGGTAGATAGGAGATTTGGTTAAGGGGGGAGACACTGAAGATGGATTTGATCCAGATGCCTACAGCTGATTTGAAAAATAAATCACCGACAAAGCTTTCCCTTTGATGTTGCAAAAGTACAACAAGGAAGTTTTCTGATCATTCATTTGAATTGGGAGAGCAGAGGACTGTGTGCTTTAATTTTCCATTGTACTCTATCCGGTAGGGATCAATGAACTCCACCACACTGTGCGGAATTTCCAGTCACTTCTCGTAAGGTGTCCCTCTAGCTCAGGGGTTCTTAACCTTCCCAATGCTATGACCCTTTAATATAGGTCCCCCAGTTGTGGTGTCCCCCAACCATAAAAGTTTTTGTTGCTACTCCATAACTGTAATTTTGCTACTGTGAAGAATATACTACAACGTAAATATTTTTGGAAATAGAGGTTTGCCAAAGGTTTGGCAGGTTGAGAACCACCGCTCTAACTCAATGTGGTCAGTAGCCCCTAGATGCAGTCTATTTCCTTAGCTGGGTTTTTATTTTTATCAGATGGTACAATGAATCACGATGAGAGTTCATGCAGAATTTTACATGCACACCGTTCTGATAAGTAAAAACATGTCTCAAACGGGAAAGCATGTAGATAGCTGAATCAGCTTTGAGGAAGCATAGCTCAGTGCATAGTAAACTTTACTTTGATGACTGAAATCTTGGGTCTATTTTTGCCATTAAGTGCAAATAAGGATATTCATTTAGAGAGAATGGTGGAGAGAATTGCGGTCAAGACCAATCCCCTCCACCCCTAATTCTCATATCACACAATCTAAAGGCAAAGAGAAAGCATTAGAAAGAAGCTTAATTACAACAAAAAGAACAACAAAAAGGTGACGGAATGGCTGAGAGGAAAGGTTTTATATAATACATTCTTTTTTCTAATAAGCCAAAGACAGCTTTATTCGGGTGGAGTAAATTGTCTTCTGGGTCCTGGTTGTTCCTAATGTCCTACAAAGAAAGATCACCGATACCTCACCTGAAGCTATCAACTCTGTTACAGCATTTAATTTTGCATCGGTTCAGGAGCATGCCACTCTCATGAGAACCTTTTCACACAGCTCTAAATGTGTAATGCCTTGGGAGGATCTCTTTTTGGTATAGTACAGCAGGACCTGATACTGATGAAGTGTTGACATAACTTTGATGATCATAATAGCTAAGTAAGCTTTAAGGAATGACTGCAATGATATAAAGTAGCTTGTCCCTGTATTCTACAACCCATGGGCATGGAGGTGTATGCCAGCTCTCAGGAGCTAAGAAAGGGGAACTGAAAATTCAAAGTCAGCCTGGGCACTATGGTGAGGTTCTACCTCAAAAGGTAGAGAAAAACGAACTAAACTCACAATCTTTATAACCACTTCTTGGAAAGGAAAAGCATCCACTGTCTATGAGAGGCTGGACATGGTGCCAAGAAAGTAAACATCTTGTCTTGTATGCACTGTCCTACCACACGCCTTCATATCCCTGGGCTCAGGGAGAGAGACGGCATGCCCCATCTTACTCACTTTAGTAGACCACTGCCTTTGGTATGTTTCTCCCCAGGACAAGTTTTAATTCCAAGAAACAAAGCAAGAATTGTCTGACCACAAACTGTCTTATTTTCTTCTACAAAAAAAAAACAAAAAAAAAACTACTGCCTGAGAATGGATTTGAAAAAAACAAAAAACAAAAAACTCTGAGTGAATCAAAGTATGACTGTTGCTGTTGCTGCCCCAAGACAGGTCAAAGCTATGCATTTGAGATGAAATCACTCTCTCCTTTGCTTGGCCTCACCTGTGGGAAGGAGCCAGGAAGTACCATCCTGAAACCCTCTCCTGTGATTTCTGTTCCACAGTGCCACCTGTCACATTAAACAAGGACGGGTTTGGTTATCACCAGCTTTGCACATTCACCACTGGATAAAATATTTGCCAGACAGGAAGAGGATCCTTCAGTTTTTTTTTTTTTTAAACTTCAATAGGGAAATGAGAATTGATGATGTTACAAATTAAAATTATCTCCAACAATTCATATACCCAGTTGTTTCAGAGTAGAACAATAGGATCAAATTTGGGGTGCTGTCATTTTACATTAAGGAGCAATCTGGAAATGATACTCAATTTGTAATATGATGAGGGCTGTTTTCAAAGCAGAATATATTTCACTGTAAAACTGAATAAAGACACAGACATTCTGCTTTATTTTTCACCGCTATCCTAAGGCCACACAGGAGGAGATCAGGTGTTTTACCCACAGCTCCTCAGTGTTTTCTGTCAATGGTTCCACAGACAGCTGAAGCTTCCAGGGAGGGAGGTGACCTTCAGGAAGTAAAAGGGTCCTCTCAGGACAGTTACCCTGAAAAGAGGGACCTTTGTCATAAAAGCATCTGCAGACAATTACCAGCCTTGCCACTGGCATCCTGGCACCACGGTAACAACGCCTGTGCTTTCAGCCACTGCATTAGAAAATGATGCTAATTTGAGGGGCAGAAAAAGAAGCTTGAGGAAAACCAGCCAATTCTTGTTAAATCTGTGACCTCATGTCAGATCTGTGACACTGGCAGAGACCTGAAAAGCACCACTGTCTTTTCAGGCCTGTCAAAGGAACTTCCCACATACTGGAAAGGTCTGTGTTTGTTTGCTTATTTGCTTGTTTGTTTGTTTGTTTGTTTCCCCTAGGATGAATATGGGAACAGAACCATCTTAACACCGGCCTAACTGGAGTGGTAGGAAGATTATCACTGTGGCACAAGTAGGAAACTGATCTGTCAAGACTAGCTGTGAATTGGTCATATTGGCACAGTCCTTTCATTCCAGCACTCAAGAGGCTGAGGCAGAAGGATGGAAAGTTTGAGGCCAGCCCAAGGCACACAAGACCCTGTCTCAAAACACAATATACACAGGCTGTAGGCTTGCCCAGTGCAGGTGGCAGCTAGGAGATAATTACCCAAGTCTTGTCATTGATGATGTTACAAATTAAATTTCCATCTACTATTGAGGAAACCAAGAATATAATTCAGGCGTGGTTCCTGGTACTTCTCTCTCACTGTATAGCTACGCACCATGAGTAATCAATCCTGTGTCACTGTGCCCAGTTTCTGATCTGTAAAGTAGGTGCCATCCCTACCCTGTCTGCCCTGGAAAATGTTTTGAGAAATAGAGGATGCCCAGTCCTTACCTTCTTTGCTCATTCCAGAAAAAAAGGATGTAGTGCAGGCCCTCCTGCTAGAACAACAGAAGAATGAAGAGCAGATGCTAAGGGGTGGGCCTTTGCAGAAGCCTGAAGCTAGGGCTTATCTTTTACCTATAAATCTTGCTCTTGGCCAGTTTTTGAATCTCTGTGGTAGCCTCCAACATAAATATCCTCAAGGAAACCCAGTGCCTGTTTCCTTGCAGTCTAACAGAGCTAGCATTGCTCCTTATCCATTTGATGTTTGATTCACTTTAGGGATTTCAGTCCCCTTCAGACTTTCAATCAGCTGATAGTAATGTTAACACAATACTGAAAATCTCTTTTTTCTGAAAGTTAGGGTTCAACTGGAAGTGTAAGGAACGATGGGTAATTTGAGCCTCAGACTGAAGTCTCTTGCCAGTAAACCCTGTACCTTCTCCATCATTCAGAGGAAATACAACCCCTCTTAAGTTACCTAAGGTCTTCCTATTCGATATGCAAAGTATGTGAAACAAATTACCTTTAAAGAAGAAAGACACATAAGAATGGTCCCTGACCACATGGCAGTAGAATCTTGCCCCTGTGTTGGTCGGGTGTGGACGCAGCCTCTGTGGGGTTGATTTCTGTGGAGGAAGGACTGACTTTCAGATCTGAACTTTGTGGTCTTGTCTCAGAGCATTCACTGAGAGTGTCTGCTAGAATCACAATGGGATACAGCAGATGTCATTTTTCTTTTACTCTTTAGATCCTTGGAGAAACCTGGCACCTAGGATACTGTGAACGGACCATCGAAGCTCATTTTTATATCTCATTTATAATAAAAAGATAACTATCATTTGTCTCTTGGGGAATTGTTTCATTGTTTTTCCCTCCCTGGTGGGTTTCATAATTAAACCTCACTGAAAGAAAGACTAAACATTAGATTACAGATGTGTTATTTCCTGACAAGTGCGCTGATCTGTGCCTTTGTTGTTTCTGCAGTCTCCGTGGACAACTGATCCCTGCTGCCACCTTTGTTTAAAAAAACAAGACATTTTGTTGGGCTGATTTCCAGCCTGTAGTTTCTGCTGTTGCTGTCATGAAAAGGCAAAACCAATTTCATCACTCTTAAGCCCTGCAAGAAACTCTGGCTTCTGCCTGCACCTGCTCACACCTCCCCTCTTTGTGGAGATGTCTGAGGCTGACCCTTCATCTGGATTTGCGGGAAGCGTGGAGAATGGGACTTTCCTGGAGCTGTTTCCCACATCGCTATCCACATCGGTGGACCCGTCCTCAGGCCACCTGTCCAATGTCTACATCTATGTGTCCATATTCCTCAGTCTCCTGGCTTTCCTGCTTCTGCTGTTAATCATTGCTCTGCAGAGGCTGAAAAATATCATCTCCTCCAGTTCCTCCTACCCGGAGTATCCGAGTGATGCTGGGAGTTCTTTCACCAACTTAGAAGTGTGTAGTATCTCCTCTCAGAGGTCCACTTTTTCAAACCTCTCATCATGAATAAAATGGAAAGATATTCTAAGTGAGAGTGGCTTTGCTTTCTCTATATCGAAACTGTTGCTTCATGAAAGAAATGACCATTTGGGTAGATCTATTTTTCTCCTTCATTTTTTTAAAATTTCTTTTCTGCTCAGGACGTGTACCGTTTGTGAGAAGAAGAGCCAATGCTGACAGAAATGCATGTAAACTTTGAAGTGTGGGATTCCACACAAAGTTCTTGGCCCACCTGGAGGTGGCTCAGCACAGTCTCAACGAAGAGCACTGCAAGGGATGCTGGGAAGAGACTCTGCCACTCGGACTCTCTTACAAAGACCTGGAACTACCTGAGCCAGCAGAACCTGGAAAACCAAGTATAGATTATTTAGAAGATATTTTCTGTATTTAAAAGATCTAAAGCAAAGACAGTTAGAGAACTCCAAACTCCAACTTAGATTTAACATATAATATTTCCAGAAGGAGGTTAAAATAGGCTAAATGTTTTTATTTAATTTCACCTTAGCAAATGTCACATGTGATGAGAAGTCATTTTGGGGATGTTCTGGGGGAGTTGAAAGCTTCATCAGCACAAGAGAAGTGTGTCGTGATGCAGTTTGCATTGTGTCTCTGCTCCTGGGTTTTTCTCTTGGCTCATGTTGCAGTCATAATGTTCTCTGGCTATGGAATCCCTTACGACAGTTGCTGTTGCTATTACTAAGTGAAGCGCAGAGGAGGCACAATTCATTTTTATTTCCTCAGTATCCTTTCCATCCAGTAGGAATTAAATATAGAGAAGTTAAATAGTTCAGTTTGTATTTTATACAGTAATGTATTCTTAGCAGTTGTGGCCTCCTTCACCAAGTTTGTCCTTAAAGCTTTACTGCAGAATAACACTATCTCTGAGGTGTCAGGTGTGTGCTCACATGACTTTGCAAGCCTTAGGGACTATATTGCTGATATTTGTGTTATCCTCCATGATTGCGATCTGTCTCTGATACTTTGTTTATGTTGACATAATACTCTGCACTGGATTTCTAAGTTGTGAGTTTATCCTAAAAGTTGCAGATATTCTGTGCTACTGGGAGCTGCTATACTGAGGCCAACCATGGGTGTCCATGAGCATGGCTGTGAGCACAAGCATGGGACATGCAGGGAACTGAGCAACGCCAACTACAGCCTCTTATGGATAAGAATTTAAACTCACTTTTTAAAACACGTGGCCCACAGACAGAACACCGAGCTGAGTGACCTCTGAGTGTCACTGTGCCAACATACAAGTCTGTCTTAGGCAAATTAGTTATTCCTCCCTCTCCCCTCCCCCGCTCAAAACATTTACTAATCTTAAAACACCAGAATTCCACAACACCCTTGAATGGGTTGTACAGCCAGAACTCCCCGGGGACAGGAATGGGAGAAAGTGAAACATTTGACAGGCCCTGTCTGACATCTTAGACATGCTTCGGGTTGAGAACTGGTGATGAAGATCAGAAGCTGCTCCCTTCTTTTTACTCCACAACCGAATCAGGACATGCTAGCTACTTATCATCCAAAGTATCTACAGACACATCAGACCAGTACAGATGCTGCCCTAAAATGTGTAGTGAAAATCTCGCCGCTGTCGTCCTGACTGAACACACAGTAAAATCTTGGGCTAGAGAAGCTTTGCAGTTTGGGTGGTTATTGCCACTCACTGAGTATCTGTGGACACATGTATACATGTAAGTATGTACACGTGGTGCATGCACAGACACATGTGTGCGTGCACATATTTCCAGGGGAAAGCTTGTGACAGCTATCAGGAATTCGGTAGTATCTGTACTGTCACGTCTACTCTCTTGATTATTCTTGTGCTATTTTGGCTCTGGGGTTGTTGGGTAAAGAGACTTTAACAAATAAAAGCACCAACATCTCAAATAACAGGTCAACCTGATTAGGTCCTGTCCTGGAGAGGTAGCTTTAAGTCCTGTTCTCCCAGAATAGATCCAAAGACTTTAGACAGCAAAGCTACTTAAGTGAGAGTCACTCACCTCTGCAGGTGTGTTCTCCCAGCCACATGATTCCTGTTCCTCGTGATAAGAGGAGTAATTAGCAGCAAGGCTCAAAGATGGAAAATAGGCGTTACCACTAAACACTGTAGAACTGGAGATGAATCGGTCTTGTTGAAAAAGTTCAGAGAGACGGGAACACAGGTATATAAATAAAGAAGTGGAGTCTGTTGAAAAACCTGGCGTCTTGTTTTGTTCAGCAATTTACCCTTCTTGGGGAAGAAACTTTGCCTATGAATTATAAGTATATCTGTAGAATCTATATCTACATAATACCCATACATTAAATTCTTATGGGGGCTGGAGAGATAGTTCAGCAGATCAAAGAGCTTGCTTCTTTTCCGGAGGTCAAAGTCCAGCACCAATGTTGGGTGGGTCAGAACCACCTGTAACCCCAGCTCCAGGGAATCTGATGCCCTTTTCTGGCCTCTTCAAGCTACAAATCTTGGCATGTGGGGGCATGCATAGATGCCTATCACCACTGCTTTCTGCTACAGAAGGACTGGCAGTGCATGACCCAATTCCATTCTCTCTTCATCAGTGCAAGCCTTGCTCCCTCTTGGCACTTGGTGAGTCTCAGACCGGCCTGATGAGAAGAATCACATTACAGGGGTACTAGGAAGTTTTACAAGTTCCTACAAAATCAAGCATCTACAATTCACAGAGGGCTCCAGGTGATAATGAGGAGGGAGAGAAGGAAGCCTCCTTCTCTATAAGGCCCAGGAGTACAGCAATAAACATGACTCACAGATACCTGAGAAGAGAACTTTCCTCTGAGTCATTACTCCCCCAATGCAGCTTCTCCGATCTGAGCATTGGCCTGCCCACCACCCACTCACAGACCTGCTGCAACCTCCTCCCTGCTGGAGTGCGGACACTAGGCCACCTTCCTAAACAGGAGGGAATGTTGCTGCTGTGCTGGGTTGGGAGGAAAAAGCAAGTGCACAATGTCTCTCTCATTGCATCCCTTCGTTCCTACAACTCTTTCACAAGGGGAAGCATGTGGAGCAGACTAGAGGATAGAAGAATTTATATGAGACAAAAAAAAAAAAAGTGCACTGTCTATTAAGACACTCCCACAGCCAAAAGAAGAATCACAAAATGACCAGACAGTCAAATCTTCAAAGTCAAAGACAAACACCAGCTTCCCACTGTCGCCAATGCCAGAGCTTACCTACCTGTTCTCCATTACAAAGTCCTCTGGGGTCCATCTCCATCAGTTCAATACACAGAACCTCAGCCTTTAGACCGCGTGAGTGTTCAAGAGAAACTGAGACACCACCTGCATTCTCACAGTCCTCTCTCCTCTATTTAACCAAGCTTTCAAGGGCAAAAAATTTATTATCTCCCCCTCATGTATCCTTCCTTTTCAAAACCATGCCCAAGTCACTAACACTTTATGAGACACTTCCTGTTAATACTGCTTTTTATTCTGACTCTGACCATTTTTCTGACTTCAGAGACCTCATCAAACCATCTCAAATGTTGCTTTTCTTTTTCTTAGCTGGAGTCCAGATGTAGGAGATGTACCAACCTGAACACTATAAGAAATGGTTAGCAAACATTTATCAAATGGATGGCTGCATCCTTTGATGCTGGACAGATATAGTTCCTGCTCTCTTGAAACTCATACTCTAGTGAAGGAGGCACTCAGAACATGAAAAAGAAACACACACAACTGTGAGGGCAATTGAGAAAAAGCTGTTGGAAAGCGACAGGTCCTTGGAGGAATACCTGAATGGCTTCACAAAGAGTATTCTCTGAAAAGAGAAGAGAACACACAAAATCCCTGTAGTAGGAAGAGCCTTGGATCTTGCAAGCAGAATAGTTAGTACTGGCCTAAGTGATGAGGTGCTGGGAGCTGGGTGGGACAGGTCAAGCAGGGGTTTATGAGATACATAATTGAATTTATGTTTAAGAAAGATTACTCCAACTTCTGCTGGAAAAGAGAGTAGAGATGGACAAAGAGTACTGTTCAGATGCATTCTGGGTGGGATACAGGAGTGGGTGGAGAGTTGTTCTGCCTGCTACAAATATCTGCTCAACTTCTAGCCATGGAGACAGCCTTAGCTAAGACTGAGTTTATCACACAGCCCATCCCTCCTCCACTACTTGTTTCCAGTTCTACCACCTCTCTCTCCCCCTCTCTCTTTCTCTCTCACTCACTTACACACACATACACACACACACACACACACACACACACACACATACACACATACACACATACACCTTCTTAGATTCCTTCCCCTCCTCTACCGACTTGTCCCCATTTGGCCCTTATTTAAAGTCTTTCAATCATTTTCAGTCCACACTGTGATTCTTACTCCAGTATTTTTAACATGTTGTATGACTAATGCTCAAACAAAACTCTAATGCAACAGTAAAGTTACAGAATTTAAGATCTTGCTCCTTTCAAAATCTCATTTCTAGTGTGGTTTGTACCTTAGGAAGCCTACCATTTAAGAGTCCAGCTTCCTCTAGCTAAGTAATATTTTGAGATGCTTTCTACTTGTTTATCTGCCTGTGCTGTTGATTAACGCTAACCTCCTTACAACAGAGGATCAATCTAGACAGGCATTTACTTAAATAAGCTCCAGATAGTCCCTCTGCAACCTCAGACAACACGTCCTGAGGCCCCAGGTCTTGATAAAATGAAGAAGTAAGGATGTCCTTAAATACTGTGTAGATTGAGTGATAGCCATATGCGAACTAACACCTCACTGTTTGGTACATGGTAATATGTGCGCGTGTCAAGCCAAATCATTTAGAACTTTCAGCACTGGGGGTTTAAATCCTTCCACTGTTTCTTCCTACCACCCACCCTCTCTGTTTTTATGCACCTAATTCTTCTCCCGTTCCTTCTTTTGCACACCTAAAACTGACCTTTCACATGCTGAGCCTTCTGCCCTGCTTTCTCATCTTCTGGCTTTAGCCCATCACTAATCTCCTCATGGCCCCAGCATAGATATATGCAGATATATGGAGGCCTTCCTGCAGCCCTTTCTCCCAAGAGGTCCATCCCCTTATTCAGCTTATCCTCTACTCACGGACCATAGATGATATTCATGTCTCATGTGCAAGCAGAATTGATGAGGAAACATCCAAGCTTAAAGAATTCTGTTGAGTACCCTGCAGTTCAGAAAGCATTGTCAATGTGCTGGGGAAGGCAGAGGTCACAATGAAACTGGCACTGGCTCAAGGGAAGTGAGGGTCAGGCATTGTGGTCTTCGAGACTTTCATCATAGAAGCTTCTTTTTTTTTGCAGTGGGCAGGGGTTAATGCATACTCAGAACTCCCAAGGTGCTGAGAATAAGTGACTTAATGCTTAGCCCTAACTGGAGTATCTGTAACAGTCCCCTCCTGTGGCTCAAGGTACATCATGGAAGAGGAGGCAAAAAGAATGTAAGAGCCATGGAATGGAGGGGGGGCTTTAAAGTGCTATCTATATGATTTGGCTATTGCCCTCAGGAACTCATAGAGGTTGTGGTTTCCTGGCTTGCACAAGATCAAGCCAATGAAAACTCCAGCATGAATGAGAGGCACTCAGGTCCCACACCTGGCTGAGGAGCTATTGACGGTTGTTGAAGGTGGGAAAGTCATTTCCCTCAGGGATATGGACGCTGGTAGGTTGTCACTGTCCATATGGGCAGCACTACCTGGAAACAGTCGGTTATGAAAATAGCAATGAAAAGCTAGGAGTTAGGCATGTTTGTGCTATGATGAACTGCATCTCCTCAAGCCAGTAGCCAAAATAAGCCCCTATGCCCTAAACCCTCTTCTTGTCAGCTAATTGATTGCAGCAAGGAGAAGAGTAACCAACATAGACACAAGGTATCTGTACTCTACAAAAGGGTCTCAACTCAATTTTGCTTTTCAACTGCATTGCCATGAGGAAGTGGTAAGGCAGAGTATGAAATGATGTGTATCTTCTAATACTTTGGAGTGGAGCTGACTATATACTTATCTAACCTACATTTTTATCTAACCTATATTTTCAGAAAACATTTATAGCAATCATATGTTCTTTGGTTTCTTCCTGTGTTCCAATATTTTCATACAAAATCCATTTAGAGTAACAAAACACAGAATTCAGCTTTTCCTGGAGCTAGAAGGCTGATGGTAGACACCTATTCCCTGCGGCTGCTGTAGAGCGTCCTCTACCTTCTTTCTCCTTGTGAAAGGGATCTCTGTGACTTAGCAGAGTTTTGTGAAAGGGATCTCTGTGACTTAGCAGAGTTTTTTGCCGAAAGCAGACTGGGCAGCTCCCAACTGCCTAACTCAAGGCAATTCAATTACAGACACAATTTACAGAGCAGGTGCTTTCACAACCAAAAGGCCACCCACTTCTAAATGACAGGGGTCGTAAGTCATTATTTTTTCCCAAGAAGAGATCATCATTCATCTGTGCTCTGTTGTCATAGTGAATGCTGAACTGTAATGAACGAGGGAACAGCGTCAGTGCTCAGTGCTTCACCTCCAAACTAATAACTTGGACATTGATGGGCACTGGATACAATGCCAGTTTAATGAGATGATAAGACTGAAGTAAGGTCATAAAATCTTTTATTCAACAGTGTATGCACTGAAAATTTCACTGGAGTCTAGACATGTGCTTTTCAGACTGTTTGGATTGGGGTAGGGTTGTCTTTATTTGTTGGTGGGAAGCTGTTTATCTGGAGGTTGTTTGAGCAGTTGTTTTGCTTGTCACTCAGGCTGGCCTCAAACTTGTAGCCAGGTGTGTCCCACCAGGCCTCGATTTCAGATTGTTTTCGGAATGCAGGACACAGGCTAGGTAGATGATCTATTCCTAACACCTGTGAAGACACCTCTATTTAAAACTTTAAATGAATGCCTGCTGTGACACAGTCCCCCGGGAAAAGCTTAGTTTAGTGAGTGAAAGAAGAGAAGGAAGAAAGAAGCAGCAAATGTCCCAGGTGTGTGCTGGCTGTCAGACATTATGGATAATTCCATTTAGGCTGTGTAGTGACTACACATGGGTGGATGGACTCATCAACCGTGTCCATAAGGGGAAGATGGGTTCAGAGGCCGCATAATTGTAAATCATTGCAAAGCCATGCGATAAGAGCTTCAATGTTCAGAAAGGAAGCGGGGCCCGCAGCACTGAGTGGAAACTAATGGGAAATTGGAAAAGTCTTC